CATGAAGTTCCTGAAATCAATCCACACATTCAGAAGGAAGATGCCTTTTGATCGTTTGTTTTGACACAAAACACAAACTTAACCCTTTCAAGCCCGTATCACAAACCCACAGCTTGTCAATGGGGACCTCGTGTTTCCATGCGTTTCGCCTTCGAAAATCAAGGAGAAAACACCTGCAGCTCCCTTCATCGTTTCGTCCAAGGCACAGATGAATTCTGATATGGTGAACATGGAGAAGAGGAGATTCGATAGCTTGGAATCGTGGTCGATGATTTTGGACTCGGAGAATGTGGAGACGTGGGAAGTTTCAAAGGAGGATCAAGAGGAGTGGACAGCTGATCTTTCTCAATTGTTCATAGGTAACAAATTTGCATCTGGCGCTCATAGTAGGATCTATCGTGGGATTTACAAGCAGAGAGCTGTTGCAGTGAAAATGGTGAGAATCCCAAACCAAAAGGAGGAGACCAGATCGAAACTCGAGCAGCAGTTCAAGTCTGAAGTAGCTTTGCTTTCACGCCTCTTCCACCCCAATATAGTTCAGGTAACACCTCAAACATACATACATACATACATGTCTATCTCTGTGTCGCTAAAGTTTGTCCCTTTTTTACAGTTTATTGCTGCTTGTAAGAAGCCGCCTGTGTACTGTATCATCACAGAATACATGTCACAAGGGACTCTGAGGATGTATCTGAACAAGAAAGAACCGTACTCCCTTTCGACGGAGACGATACTGAGGTTAGCTCTTGACATATCCCGAGGGATGGAGTATCTTCATTCACAAGGTGTGATCCACAGAGACCTCAAATCTAATAATCTGCTGCTAAACAATGAAATGCGGGTAAAGGTGGAGGATTTTGGTACATCGTGTCTAGAAACACAGTGCCTTGAAACTAAAGGAAACATGGGAACGTACCGATGGATGGCACCAGAAATGATAAAAGAAAAACCGTATATGAGGAAGGTCGATGTGTACAGCTTCGGGATTGTGTTATGGGAGCTTACAACCTGTTTGCTTCCCTTTCAAGGAATGACCCCTGTGCAAGCTGCTTTTGCCGTGGCTGAGAAGGTTTGATATCTCTGGCTTTACAGCACCATTTTCGTCACTTAAATTGCTGATGAGCACACTTCCGACGGTAGCTTCTTCTTGTATTGTAGAACTATTCTTGTTTCTTGAGACAATGACCTCTTTCTGCAGTCTCAGATGAACCTAAGATCAATTGTAGAATTATGAGTTGTAAGAAACAATCATTTGAACTCTATATGCTACACAAACTCATACATTCTTAGTTCTTACACATAAAAGACGTGCGGTGGGTTAGTACAGTTTGCAAAAGCTTGTTCCTCTATGCTTAACCTTATGATGCAGCTCCTTTAACATTGATCATTTCCTTTCTGCAGAACGAACGGCCTCCATTGCCAGAGAGCTGTCAGCCAGCACTTGCACACCTCATAAAGCGCTGCTGGGCAGCGAACCCCACAAAGCGGCCAGATTTCTCTGAAATTGTTTCCACCTTGGAGAAGTACGACGGATGCGTAAAGGAGGGCCTTCCGTTAACTTCCCACTCGGGACTGGTCAGCCGAAATGCCATTCTCAAACGGTTAAAGGGATGTGTATCAAGTACAGGCCTGAATCTATCATTTAGAAACACTTCCCTCTTCTCTGATCAAGATTATTTCATAATAATTTGCACAGGCTTGATGTTCTTTCAGTAATTCAGTGACAATGTTATCCAACTGAATTAACTTCTCGGCTTTCGTAAAATTCAGTAACTAATTTCTAACAAATTAAAATAAAAAGACGAACTTCATAATTTTACAAAATAGAAGGATGAAATTTATAGTTAATCCTTTTTGTTTTAAACAAATGGGAATCCTCAAAGTGTCATTTTTTTATCTTTATTCAGGTTAGAATTCACAAACGCGTGATTTGTCAACAAATTCCTTCCACTTGCATCTTGCAATATTGTGAAGGAAAAACAAAGTGGGGGAAAAGAGACGAAACATTTGAAGCTGAACCAACCCCTTTATTTAGGCATTTGGGGTGAACATTCGATCGAGTCGAATCAAGTAAAATAATTTTGAGTTATTCGAGTTAACGAGTCATATTTTACAATTCGGAGTTAACTTAAAATTTTCTCGAGTCGAGTTATTCGAATCTATATACTATTTTTATTATAATTATTTATAATATTATGGCAAAGATTTGTTTCAATTTTTTGACTTTCTCTAACCGTATAATATATATATATTCACTCTATAATGTTATTTAATATATAAATATAATCTAAAATTATAAAATATATTCATAATATTATACTTCAAAGAAATTATTTAAAGGGTAAAATATTGATGAGAGTATAAAGAAGTCAAAGAATTGATGGAGGAAAGAATTTGCAAACAATTGTAGTCAAAAGACCAAATTGAGTAAAATACAAAATTAAGGGACTAAATAACAGAGAGAGAGATTTCATTTTTAGTTAAAAAAATAAAAAATGAAATTACATAGATATTCTATTGTCGTTGATGAGCATGTTGTTCAAATATAATAAAAGAGAATTATTAAAAATTGAATGACTAAATAGAAAAATAGAAAATTTATTATCAAAAAGAGAAACTTAAAGTACATATATATTCAACGATGTTTTAAGAGTATGTGGTTCAAATTTGATAAAAAAAATAGACTTAAAATTAAGGAGGAATTGGAAGAATAATGAAATCATGGACTAAATTGTAAAACTGTTAAAATACCTAGTCAAATTTTTTATTTTTCAAGTAACTCAATATTTCAAAAGTTCAACTCGACTCGAACTCAAAAACCAAATTGATAATTTGAGATCATTCGAATAAATCGATTAGAATAACTCAAAATTGGAAAAAAGTTGATTTTTTGAGTCAAGTTTTGCTCACTAGCATTGGTTTTGTAAACAAAAGGGTAAATTACACTGATAGGACCTAAATTCTTAGGATTTTTACATTCTAATCACTAAACTTTTAGAACTTACAGTCACTACTGTTAAGAGTGGCGGATCAGCAACAACAACTGAATCAATATGTCATATGTCATTTTTTTAATAAATTAATACTCTCAAATAAGATAGTGACATGTTTTGTCATCTTATTGAAGAACAATAATTTATTAAAGAAAATGACATGTGACATAATGAATACGAATTAAGACTTTAGTGATAAATGAAAATTTTAAGTGATCAAATTGTAAATGTCCTAACCGTTCTGGGACTACCAGTGTAGTTTACCCTAAACAAAATAACCTGGAAATCGTTGGAAAATATGAGAAAATAAAGAAGTAAAGATATCACATGAATGCAATTCAATGATAAAGCAAAATTAAGACAAGAACCCTTCATTCACATGCATGCCATTGATGGAACACATACATACACGTACATCTTACCTATGGATTAATGATTATTTATTTTTTGTTGTTGCGGATGGCCGACACCGGGAACATTAATATGGGTCACACAGTCAAAGCTAGAATGGCAAGAAAACAGGTCCAATGATTACTAAATCATCGTCAAATACCCATAAGATCTTCACTCACAACAGCATCCTCTTTCTTCTTTCTTTTTCATCAAAGTTCCAAATCTCTCTTGATTCAGTCTCTTCATTGGACGTGAATTTTGTTGTCCTTTTTTCTCAAGGTGCGATGGTTCCACGGGTTGCTTGGTCTGCTACGAGTCTCGTCGTACCACATCGAGACTTTCGATCTGGAGGTTGATGCCACACTAATAGTACTAAATTGCGGAATTATAACAAACTCTCAGTGTCTAAATTCTTTCCTTCTCTGATATTCTTCTGTTGGTTTCTAGATTTTATTTGCAGGAAAGTTCCTAACAGTAAGTAAACGCCAGCCCTAAGAGGAAAGGTTCTATCTTATGTTTCTCCCAATTTTAACGTTCTAAAATTGATGGACAAATCAAGCACACTAACATCACTTAACACATTCTAATTTGCTTCAAAATAAAAGATCTGTTAGTTTATATAACTAATTTGGATAAGGTATAAGTATACTACACGTACAGAGCTCATTTATATGTTGGCACTGTATTAACATACCAGTTAGCAAACTACGCACGGAATCACAGCAATCTAAGCAGGGTGGCTTTAAAGCTTCCACTTTCATTCATGGTAAAACTCCAAACAAACTCATGACAGCCTCCAAATTAAGAGATGAATGGAGGTACCAAAGTTAACAGAGAGAGACGATTTGATTCCTAGTACAATGAAAAATACCAAAAATGCAAATATGTAGAAGAAAATCTCAGCAAAGGATATAAGAGATGAACTTACTTTTGCTACAACAAAAGAGAATGTATTACATTAGTGTATTCAGCTTTGCCTTGCTGTTTCATTAAGACAATCTTTCAAGCAAGCACCGATGGTACTAACCTTATCTGGCTATTAAACAGTCTATCTTTAAACGGTAGCTTGATATTCATCAATGGTTTGTTCCATTGAATCCAGCTGAGATAGAATGTATTTGAGTTTCTTGCAACAGATCTCGTTCGAAATTCTCGAACTATAATCGCACTTCTCAAAGGGGCGATACTCACAAGCACTCTTGATTTCATCCCTCAAAGTCACTTGGATGTCCTTTTTTTTTTCAAAAACACAGAAAAAAATTAAAGCTTAAATACTACAATTAATGCTTAAGAACAGATACACAACACAAGGAAGCTAAAAAATTGATCTATAGGAGGAAAGGAGAAACCTTGATCATCTTCATGAATTCACGGCAATGATTGTTGATGAATTCTTTCCTGGGACCTGTTGGAGTGGCGAGTTCATCCATAACACCTCCTGCCAACTCCAAAACCCTAACTATTCTCTGTGTCAAAGCAAAAGAAGAAGAAGAAGCTAATTTCTCTAAGAAAAAATGCGGTTTATCGTTGAATAAGTGCAAGGGTGGAAATTAATCAATTACCTTCTCGACATTTTGAAGTCGCTGCAAGGAAGTGTTTTGAGTGGGAGAATCCATGGAACTATATCCCGGCTTCTTCAATTACACCAAAACTGAAATTACCTCTCAGAATCCTAATTCCCAAAATAAATCTCGCGGCAACTATGGGATAATTCGACTAGAAGTTCTTAAACTATTTCGATAATTCTAATTTAGTGTCAAACTTTTATATATTATAACCGAGTCCTTATAATATGATTATCATATCAATAAGTGGTAACTTGGATCTGACAGTGAAGCAGGCTCTAATCCATAATTTTTTTGGTATAATAATACTCTAGGTCCATTTTGTTTAAATATTAATTAAATAAGATTTATTAATCTTTTAACTTTTACATTTAAATACTTAATAAATCTTTATTTTTTAGAACAATTTACCCTTTATCAATATTCAATCCTAGTTTCGCTTTTGCAATGAGGTATATTTAAAACATTCAGCTAAAATCTTATGTGTTGGAAAAAATAGTCTTATTAAAATTTGATATTTTTTTTAACTTCAAATCTAAATTATTCATATAAGAAGTTTAAACAAATTTAAAATATACTAAGCAAGTATTCAATAACTAAACTAGATGATAGTAAGGCTTTTTTATTTTTGCAAATGAGAAATCCATTAGATTGCAATACAATACAATTGAGCTCGTTATAACAAAATCAATACGGATTGAGTTTCGACAAAGTCAATTGGACGAGAGTACGAGCAACATGGTTGTCTTCAAGTTTAACGTAGAGAACCTTTAGCTGACTGTTGGAGGCAAAAATCTCTTGGCCTCGTTTAGTAACATGGATGACAGAAAGACATGATTTATGTATATTTTGATGCTTAATTAGAAAGGTTCGAAGTTAGGACTGATTTATATTTCGGATCATAGTTTTGGATATCCAGCGTAATTAGGCCTTTAATTGATGCCTTTGGAGAACGAGCTAAGACGTGCAGCACTATAAGCTACCAACCAAGATTTGCTGGCTCAACCAAATATCCCATTTTACTGAAGAAGAGTGAAAGTGTCGACTCCATGGCGTCCTCCAAGCTCTATGGAATCACCCAACCGGCCCCAAAACCAGTGAGTTGACTCGCCTGCACTCTTTTACAGATGATAATTACATATCAACTGTCCGTATTAATGGACCCTTTACTCTCATTTTTGCCATTAATTAAAGAAATCAGAATCTCTCTTCTTTTCTTTTTCCTTTTTCCGAAGAATCAATTTGCAGTAACAAGATCCATCCATGCTTTGTATGAGCTAATGTTGGATGTAGATGATTTGGGTTTCTCTTTATTAATCTGTTTCTTATTCCATCTGTCCATGACCTTTTAATACGAGTATATGATCTAACATTTTACATGATTGAAAGTGAAGAATGGTTGCAACTGCGATTGTCATTTAGATTACAGAATTGACAGTGGATGTGAGTCGTTAATTTGTTATGAGCTTCTGATAGTCGCCTATCAACAGTACAATAGACGGAAATGCTCGATTTTCGCTCATTTCTTTGTACTAACAAGGTGTTTCAAACGACTACGAGTATCAATTCTTAAAGCATACATAAGCTAATGGCTTGTTGTTTCTTTCATCAGTTCACTTTTGGGCACCAACCTTTAAATGGGGCATTAGCATAGCCAATGTAGCTGATTTCACCAAGCCACAAGAAAAACTTTCCTACCCGCAGCAAATAGGCATGTAATGCTCATCGAGTTTTCATGTAATGTCGATTCTCGTAGTTGCTTCTTTATATTTAAACATTCAATACTTGTTCTGTTGCGTCCCATTTTAACAGTATTTCTGCTACATTCTTCTAGTTTTCTGAGTGTTATTTTCTGGTACCCAGCGGTTACTTGCACAGGAGTTATCTGGTCACGCTACAGCACTGTAATCACTCCTGTAAGTTTGATGATTCTTACTTGGATTACCTTCCTTCTAAAAGTTCCGGAAATCAACATTATCAAAGAGAAATATATGAACAATCAACTGCGTACATGTACATTCAGACCTAGATTTTTGTGCTGTGTAGATTTGGTTTGGTTTATTTCTGATTCGAGGTCATTCTGTGATTTCAAAATGCAGAAAAACTGGAACCTCTTTAGTGTAAGCATTGTTATGGCTGGAACAGGCTTATACCAACTAGCTCGAAAAGTACAGTAAGTTGACGCAACCAATGATATTTGTTTCCCATTCCTTGTTTGAACTTCTGCAACATGTTTTGAATTTATTGGCTGTGCAAGCCAAGAGATATTAGTATTTCAACCATTTATATAATGTTTATTTTAGCATGCCTGGCTAAATAATATGTTTTTCCTTTCCACATTGAAGCTGATGTCTGCCAAAAAAACTGAACCTACTTGCCTTTATATGTAATATGATGGGTTTCTTTAGCTTTGTTTCCATGCCATTTTCTCCTTTTCTTGCTTGTTATTGCAATTTATTTCATATGGTTGCTCTCTTATGCACTGCTTATATGTTTGTTTCTCTATGTTCAGACACAATTTCCTTTCAGAGGCGAAGGCAAAGCCAGCTAACGTAAATGAATGAAGACTGAATCTTCCGAAGTCTTATGTTTCCTCGGGCAATATCAGTCGACTTGCCTTCTTGTTTTACTGTTGATTAATGTACTGAGGAATTGAATTATTCAAGCAATGATCTGTTGTAGGAATTTGTAATTTGATAATAATCTGTATGTCCACAGGGGAAACAACAAAAGATATATTCTGTTCTCAATCAATACAAGTTGCAATCAGCTCACAAAGACAATGTGGAACTAAAAATACAAAGAGAAGCCATTTCAATGTTCTCTAACTTAAAAGGACTGCAAGTTGGAAGGCCGAAGGGAAAATTGAATCTCTAAGAAAAGGCCTTAAAAAAGGAGGTCAATGTCTAGTTATCATCTCCATCTAGATGCCGAAACGACACGCAAGCTGCTACTCGATTTCACTCTTCCTAACTGTCCATTACGAGCTGTTTTCGAACTAGACTAACCATATGTTCCATTCAACCCAAACTCAAATCCAGAGTGCTTTTGTTCAAATCTTGCCGCACTATTTTAGTATACTCCTGAGACACAGAATTGGAGTCAAGTTATTAGACTCAAAAGGAAAAACATTCAGTCATTGCTGGGAGACTAATCGTAACAAATAAAAATAATGCTACAAAAGTCAAATTGGCTTCAGTTTCATCAACCTTCCCTATGAATCAGTGCAATGAGATGCCATTTATTATTTATGTTTTGTGTATTAGCTTCTCAACGAAGTACGTCATCTATGAAAGTATCTGGAATGACAGTTTGCTGCTCACCTGACTTTCGTCCATAGGTGCGTCATTAATGTCAGGTTTTTCGTCAAAACCATCATTCCTGGAAGTTGGCTCTGCAACACTAGGATCAGCCTCACTTGGTTTAGCTTCATCATCAACGTTTTCAGCTGCTTCGTTTTTCTGTTCCTCTAGCACAGCAATCTGCATGTTCAAGCAGTCAAAACAATCATAAGACCGAACAATCTGAATCGGTATTAGAGCTTATTTCCACCTAGAATGGTTATACAAAGCAGTCTTACAAACCTATGAGTGCTATTCTATTTGAAATACAATTACCAGAAAGCACCCATTCTCGGTGCATTATGCAACATGCTCGTGCAAGCAATACAATTACAGCCCAAACAACAAATTATACAATGTGAACTTTGAAGGTATTTGGTTTAAATGCATGCCGTGTGGGTTTGGGTCAGATGGGTCTCTAGGCATTACCAGAACTGTGCTCATCTTATAGCAACTGCATAGGGCGTCACTAGAGTTCGATAAGTCGGAGAACAAAAATGAGATACTGGTCTTGGTCCTATTCTTTTCAATCTCCACTCCAACAGTTTCACTAACATAGTATTGGTTTCAAAAGCTTTCCAGAACTCGGACTCGGACTCTCTATGAGCATGAGGATAACAAGCAGCTCAATTTGTACCCTAAACAATAATTTTCATATTAGCTATGCAATTAAAAGTTTGCTGATAAGCGAGCTATGATTCTAGGAACAGATTTTAACTACATTATAAGGTTAATAGTCAACCAGAAACGGAGAATCCAATGCATCAAGACCTTGCTCAAATAGAGTGAACCTATGTTGCTCGGACTATTCATTTTTCTTGAAATACTCGTGTCTGATATATGCATATGGAAAAACTTGGAAAAATCTAAACCCATATACAGATACATACCATAATTTAACACTCACACGGAGTCCGAGTAGATTAATGGTGAACAAAAATTTACGTGAGAAACATTCAAGTTCTAGATCATCACTGATAAGAAAAGCATTCCCTTAAAAACCATTAGCAAATTCTTTTCCACAACCTTAAAAGCAGTTAGCAGCAAGCTAACTCATTGTTCCCTTGAAGGAACATATAAGATTGTCAACCCAAAACCCAGCTACCAGATCAACTAACTGTACAAAAGACGCTTAAAATCAAATCCTAATTCTCAGCTGAAAAGAACTACCAAGAAACTCAATTCACTAAAAACAAAGTAATAGGAGAACCAAATTCCAAAATTGATGAAAACCCAAGGAAGAGAATACCGGAATGTATTTAAATATCCGCCTCGGAGGCTCCTCGGGCGGCGCCACATCATCGTCCTTGGAGGAATCGTTGTTGCCGCTGGTGTTGTTTTGGCTTTGTGATAAAGGGGTCCATTTAAAAAGGAGGAGATGAGAGCCGTTTTTACCGTTAGAAGCACCGTTGGGGGCCTTGGGGCTGTGGTGATTATTAGTATTAGTATAATTAGAAGAGTGATTACTGGTGTTGCTGCTGCTGGTGGTGGCGTTAGATGGGGAAACGTGGACCCATTTCCTGACCGTTCCAGTGAACACCGTGGCGGGTCCGTACCGAGAGGAGGATCGCCCGAATCGAGCCCCAACTCCTTCCATTGACTCGTTTGCGTCAGATCGGTTTCGAATTCGCTGTGACTCGGTTCTATTGTTAAACATAATTTTCTTTGTTTCGATCTCATCTTTCGTGTAGATCTCTTCTTTCCCACCAAGGGGACAAGTGGATTCGTTTCCTTTGTGCCTTTATGTTTATAAAGTTCGGGTCGGACTCAGGCTTCGCCTTCCAAATTTGGAGCGAATTATAACCCATAAATGCGTTGCTAACTGGGAATAGTACATCGGAATATAAAACTACTTTAGTCGATCAAATATGAGATTATTTAAAATATTTTTTAATAAATTCGATATCTATTTAGAAGATATTAATTTAAAACATTTTATAGGTTTATATTTGTTTAACTGTAGAAAATGTGTTAGTCAAAATCATCTATTTTACGTATCAATATAAAATCAAGTTATTCTTTCGTCAAATGACTTGAATCCTTTTAATAGGTAAGTTATTTTGAATAACATTTTCTTCTCCATTGTGTCTTTCACAAACTATACTCAACATTTTTAATTCTCTCTTTCTCTCATCTTCGATAAGATTCTTTTTATCTCCTAAATTTCATCAACAGAATCACTGATAAAATTTATTTCTTGAACCTGAATATATCTTCGCTACTTTTCTCTTAAATCAGTTTTTCTTTCTTTATTTGCTTTAAATTCGGTATAAAATGATAAACAACTTAAAGTTAAGTAATTTTCTATATATTTTATCTGAATTAATATTTTAAAAAATAATTATATATATTATTGATACAAATATTTAGTTTAATCGCGCTAAAGAAAAAAAGTGGTCAAGTTGACCAAAAGCAAATTACATCATGATCCCGTATAGATATACGGCTGAGATCTCTCCTCCTCCATTCCGAATCCCCACTCGCGTTTAATATTTCCCCATATAAACATAACAATAAACTGATAGCATCTAGGGTTTTACGAAAGGCGGCAGCAGCAGCGGCCGTTCTCTTTATATCTCTTAGTAATCAGTCTCTCTCTTGCGATGCATAGCTTTCGCATGTAAAAATCAGCGCCTTTATAGTATGGTTTCTCTGTTTAAAGAATAGAAAAATGAAGATCATTGAAGCTACATGTACCAAGATAAAGGGCTTGAACCAAAACAGTGCCCTTGATCTTGTCTTGCCGATGCGGCTGTAGCTATATAAAAATCAAATCGGCTGTGAAGTTAACTGGCCGGTTATCGTACTCCGTCGATTAATCTGCTTACCGAACTTCACACATTTCAAATTTATATTTTTATAGCCTTTTTTCCCCTCTCTTTTTTTTGTGGATATTGAGAAGGGGAGAGAAGAGGGGAATAGCATAGAATTTAGCTATTTCAAGAAAACTTCGGTCACTTTCCAGGCAATCTGCTTTGATTATCTGCAGTTTTGCGTCTATTGGTGACTATAACTCCTTCAGTTTCTGAGAAAATTTTACATCAATATAAGATAGTAATGAAATTGAATATGATCTTACTTTTATTAAAATTGTTAAATGTATAATTATAAATTAATTAAAATTTTCAAGATAAATTATTTAAAATAAAGAATAGAATAGAGAGAGTTTTTTAAGCATTCGAAAGGTATTCTCCATTTCTTTCATTTTTCTTTTTTAGTTTTGATTTTGGATGTTCGTTTGGTTTGAAGCGAAATAGGAGAAAGAGGAAAGGGGGAGAGTAGTTTACCTGAGTTTTATAGGACCATCGTCAGCGTTCTTCGTCAGAACTTCGATCGTTGGGTTTGAAAGACTATGAACCAGGGGTGTTCAAAGTTTATGAGTCTTTGTATGTTTTTTGTCATTTTGGATTAGGGTTTGAAGAGTAGATAAAAAAAATTTGGGATATTTTAGTTGTGGTTGGGTGATGTTTAGGGTTCTCAATCACAGTTGGTGGTGATCGGAGTTCGTAAAAAGGAAAGATTAAGTGGGTTTTTAGGTAGTTTAAGGTTCGATTTAGTATTTTTAGCAATAAATTGAGGTTCTAGGATGTGAATTAGGGGTTTGGGTTTTGTTTAGGTTAATTTTTAAGGCTCTCAACAACCACGAGCGTTGTTCAGAGTAGAGGTTCGAAGCCGATTTATAACAAAAGCACGGTGGTTGTGCTTTGAGAGGTCTCTATAGAAAATGAAAGATTGAGATAGTTAAAGATAGAAGGATTTTTTAGGGTTTAGGGTGAAAATAAACCGAACAAAAAATGGGGCATTTTTTATAGGGGAAATTTTGGACAAAATTAAGTTTATTTTATTGTAATTTTGACTCATATTTTATATTTATTTACAATTTAGTCACTTATTTATGTTGTTTATTTATTTCAATTTGGTCTCTGTTTTTATTCTATGTTACATTTATATCCATACTCTAAGTTCATTATTAACCCCCTAACTTCTAATTTACTATAACATCCTAAATCGATATGACACACAATCGACCGATTTGAATGCCACACGGAGCTGCCAAGGTGGTTAACCCAAAATATTTCTTTTATTTACTCATTCAAAGCAATGATTTAAAAATCATTTAAATCAAATAATCCAACCAAAAATATACAATAAGTTTATATAAGGGAGCTCCCAAAATAAGTATATCAAATAATACAACTCGATGTTTTAAAATAAGCTTACAACTCGAATATACATAATGGTCTACAAATAATACATGCCTTATAAAGAAGATATCTCGAGACGTACTCTGCTCTACACTCGGTCTGGAAAACTGCTGCTCAAAAGGGCTCCTCGACTGCTCTTCCTAAATACTTGCATACGTAAACAAATTTTGAACGCTGAGCTCACTAGCCCAGTGCCACACTAATAACTAAACCATACTAAAAGGGTTCATCAAATGCTCAAGTTACAAAGTGTAATGCAATAGTGAGTATACTCGTATAATTCACTTTTACTCTATGTAGACATCATTATGCAGTTGAGGGTTCTACATCTCGGAGCACATGCATCCCTCTAGTCTACTGAGGATGAGGTCCGAAATCTATACATCAGACACAATACCCTCGACTAACCCACCATCGGCCCTAGTTAGTCAGTTTAAAGTGCCCCGCGCACTACCTAAGGATATTTAGACAATACTATATCTTGACATCAGTATCTTTACTAAGGAAACTCAGGTGTTTTGATTATTTCTCGAGCATCAATTATGGTTAGTGTTATGATACCTTAATTGATATTGTTTCTACTGTGTTTGATTATTAATTTGTTCTCACTTGTAGTTTTATTGATAGTAATTATAGAGTTCTTGGGAAACCTCATTTCCTCTTAAAGTCCATTAAAATTTATGTCCCAAAATGTATACTGGTATCGATACTAAGTCTCTTGGTATCGGTATTATCCTCTGAGTATCGATACTCTATTGTTAAATTCTACTAAAGAAAAATGAGTAGTATTGATACTCCTATGGGGAGTATCGGTTGTAACACCCCAAACATCGGGTCAGTGATGAAAATGTAAGAATTTAAATTTAGTGGTTTAATTTGAAATAAATTGAAAAGTTCAAGGATTAATTTTGGAAATTTTGTTTAGGACTTGATATCAAAGTTGGAATATTGGAAGGACATTATGGTCTTTTCAAAGGAAATGAGTTTTATATTCCCTTTTAAAGGATATAAAACACGTGGGAGAATAAAAGAGAAAGAAAAATTTGGAAACCATTGTTATATTCTTCCTCTTTACCGTGAGCTCCATTTCAAAGGTGAGTTGATTTCAAGTTATTTGTTCCTTGAATTTTTAAGTTGATTCTTGTTATTTGGGTGATATATAAGCTTAAGGAAAGCTTCAAGTGGATTAAAACTAAAAGATGAGTGAATTAGTAATGAATTTGTAAAAAGGGTTATTAGGAGATTTGATGAGATTGAGTAGTAATTCAAATTCCAAAGGTATATTTGACTTGTCAAAGGTCTAATTAAGAGATTTGAAGTATTAGAAATGATTTAGAACATGATTAAAATATTGTATGATTTTTAGTCTCAAGTGTTTTAGTGGGATTTTGGATGTTTATGAGTGCTAAAGTGATATAAGTTGGTTTTGCTAAGTGTAGTTGAGTAAAAAGGCATGAAAGAAGATAAAAAGTGGGAGATTTGGGCGAGTTTTGGTTAATTTTCGAAATGAAATAGGTAATTTCTAGGAAAGGGTGTCAGTACTGGAAAAACAACACCGATACTTCAAGGCAAAAATAGTTTGAATTCGAGGAACAATATCGATACTGATTGAAAAAGGTATCGATATTGAAATGGGAGTATCGATACCAAAAGTAAGATGTCGATACTATTATCAAGTATGAAATTCCATAATTCCAAAATGGTATTGGTACCGAAATGGATATCGATACCATAAAAGGGAAGTATCGGTACTGTAGGAAGGATATCGATACTAGTGCGCCTGAAATGGTGAATTAGGTGTTTCTTTCAGCTTAAGTTATTAATGATTGGTTAATAGCAATATGAACTTCGATATTCATTTCGATTGTATTATTGAGTATACATTGAACGATGACAAATTCTGGATGATTCGACGTTATAAGCTATCGATCAAGAGTGATAAAGATTTTTGCTAGAACTTACGTGAGGTGTTAACTTCCTAAAAAGGCTACTTTTAAGGCCTTTTTCACTTAAGTTATTGTTTGTTTAAAAGCTCATTTTAGGCATTTTAAGATAATGTAGTTGCATATAGTTGCATTTGTGGTGGTAGTGTTATTTTATTTCTTAATGATGCTGCTTGAGGGAAAGGTGCAGTTTGTCTATGATGTACAGGAATAGCAAACAAAAAGGATTCGTTGGGAAGTAATACCGCGGCATCACACATTACTGAAGCAGATTGAAATGCCTTGGCATTTCTGGCGCAGAAAATGACAAAAAAATACAGTTGCATGAGGATAGCTGGAACTGCACGTGGAATGATTGTTGTGGCCACCTTCTAGAGGATTAAGGCCACCTGGAGAATTGAGTTCATGCTTATGGTGTGATTCTAGGGGTATAAGGGGTATTTTGTACCTAACAACCTAATCATTACCCTTAGATTCTTTTATTATAATGACATCTAAAGGGAGAGAAGGGAGAGAGGTGAAGAGGCACACGCATAGAGCAGAAAAAA